CAAAGCCTAGCATGCTTCTACATATTCAAATAATTACCAAGTACGGGAACGTACCTTGAATATGATATCAAAATCGCTACGACTAAATAAAATCACTCACTTGGAAATCTCCTACAATCCAAAAATTACAAAAAGTCATTAATACCTATTCGATATAAATTTCTAGAAATGTATACACTCTTTAAATAACTCATAAACCCTCTAAAATAAGCTAAAATTTAATTTAAAACCCTTACTTTTATTCCCAATTAATGGGTAATTAAAAATCCTTTCCAGAAACTTAATTGTAGCTTATATACAAAATTTCCAGCTTTATTAAATCATTTATAATTGCTGTAATTATGTTTTAAAACACCTATTCTTAAATCACTTATAAACAATCTCCATCCATATACATCAATTTAGAAACTTAGGGTTTTCAATTTGGGGCTTTTTAATTCAAAACCAAATCTGAAAATTTATATCCAAAATTCTTATTATCCAACATCATAAAAATCATCACACAACCCAAAATCAAAAATTAATTAAAGGCTAGTTTAGGATTTAAAACAAAAGAATTTTTTTTTTGTTCGAACACCAACAACCACGATACCACAGCAGGGCTGCTGCCTCGCGCCCACTGGTGGTGCCGCTGCTGTCACTTGTGTTTGCTGGTGGCTGCGGCGGTTGCTGGCGGCGTGTGGTGGTGGCCGGCGTGTGGTGTGAAGAAAATAAGGGGAGGGGAAAAATAAAAGAAAAGGAGAGAAAATAAGAGAGAGAGAAAATGAGAGTTACCATTGGATATTCCCCACCTTGGGCAAGGTTCAATTTGCCTTTGTGATGGGTATTTATACCCCCTCTCTAGACCCTCTTACTTAAATTCCCCTTTCTACCCTTAATGATCCCTTCTCCTATTCAAACTAGTATCTTGACTTTCCTTAAATACTATTTACTTTAAAATTTCCTTTTATAAACTAATATGCCCCAAAGTTTCCAAATCATGAAATAAAATATTTTCAAGATTGTTAAATAATTTAAAATAAACTTTAAATTAAAATAATCCTTTTTGAATTAATGAAACACCATAAATAATTCATTTCGAAATATTTAAATACTTTATGAAATACCAATTTAAATTATAATACGTATAAAAATACAGGATATTACATAAACTATTTTCCAACCCCAAAACCACAACCTTTAACCCCAAAATCCCAACATCTCGAAGCACGAAATTACCATCACCGACTCGGAATATCCTTAAACCATCCCCAAAATAACCTTATTATTACCACATTGAAAACCAAACCCCGCAGTGATTTAACGGGTGTTTGAGGTGGGTCAATGTCATAAAATTAGGTCAATGGTGACAATTCCAAAGATAGTATATATCTCACAACATTGTACCTTTTATTAGGAATTTTTACAAAATTTTCTTTGAAGGGTTTTTACCAAAATAAATAAATAAATTATTAGATTGTTTCTCACAAAATTTTGATTTTGTTAGGCAGTTTCTGGCAAAACATTAACTTAACATAATTTGTCTAATAATGCAGTATGTTTTTCTAATGTTTGGTAGTTAGTTTCATCAAGGGAAAAAAAAAGATTGTAAAATAATGATATATATTACATTAGAAATATATAGTATATAGGATTTTTCTGATCAAAACACTGAACATCCCATGACCGTGAATTATTTTAAAGAACACAATTATACATGATGTTTAATATCGAAAGTAAAACCATATACTATATGATATACGCAATTATATCTTTAATATCTTATATAATGCACGGTATATTTTTAGAATAAAATGTAAAGATATATATATTGAACATTATATTATATGGATCTAGATCTATATATAATTTAAGAGTAAGTTAGGCCCCGTTTACTTCACCTTATTTTTGTTGAACTGAAATTATTTTTACTGAACTGAAATTATTTTTGCTAAAGTTAAATTATTTTTACTGAAGTGAAATTAATTTTACAGAACTGAAATTAATTTTGCTGGACTGAAATTATTTTTACTGATTTTCTATTATATTTCTTCTTTAAAGTTACTGAATTTTACTGAACTAAACTTATTTTTGCTGGACTGAAATTATTTTTACTGAATTGAACTTATTTTTATTGAACTAAAATTATTTTTACTTAATATTATTGACCTCAATCCTCAATTCTCATGCACTCCCTTTTTCTCTCTTTTTTATTTAATTATTTTTTTTTTTTAATTTTATCCTTTAAATAACTTAGCTTCAACCTTTTTAAAAATAAAATAAAAATAAAAATAAATATCCAAATAACTTCCACTTCTAGTATTTTTTTTTTTCTTAATTTTCTTTTAGAAACCCCAAAATTATAAGGAATCTATATTATTATTCCACATTTTTTTTCCTAACTTTTCCACATAACACATCAAAATCAATCTTTAAATTATGTGTACTTCATTCACCATAAGATCCACTATTTTCCTTTAAAAAATAACGATTTTTTGCTTTTTTTTTTTTTGAAACAAATCAATTCATTAATAAAAAGCCATCTGGCATCCACAAATGAAATATAAATTAACAAATACATAAAATTGAATCAAACTAGGGTTTCCTTCATCAAAGCTACAATCGTTGAAAAGATTTTTCACTATGGTATATCTCTCGCACACATCGCTGGAATATACAGCCTTTTCGGAGAGACGATCTAACGATTTGTTGTAGCCGTAAGGATGATTTTTATCGGATTCGCTTGAACGCATTCGAAAACTTGACAACCGTTGCAATCCAGAACAAATCTTTACCAACCAACTGACAATAGGGGAAAAGATGATTACCTTTTTGATAAACTCTAACACACAAATAAACCCTAAACATAAACAAACAACTAAACTAACAAAAACTAACAACTCCACCATAGGGAGACGGTCAAATATCTTTTTTTTTCCTTTTATATTTAATCACTCAATTGTTTAAAAAAAATATTTAATCACTCAATAACCACCTTTTTATTAATTCGATAATTATCAAAATCAAAATTGTACATTTTCTGGTCTGGCTAGCCACACTATCTGGCCGACTGACACACACAAAACACTAACCAGGTAACCCCTGTTGGAGTAACCTTTGACCGAGTAACCCCTGCCCGACTGAGTAACCCTTGACTAGGTAACTCTTCACTGAGTAACCCATGACTGACTGAGTATCCCTTGACTGATTAACCCCTAATTAACCGAGTAACCCCTAACTGACTGAATAACCCCTGATCGAGTAACTCCTAACCGAGTAATCCTTGACCAACTAAGTAACCCTTAAACAAATAATCCGGCCACACGGTGTGACCAGTCACATATGAAACTTTGTGAAACCAAAAATATATACATATCATGTTTTCTATCCAGCCCAATAATTTCTTTTTTTTTTTAATTGTAATTTTTTCAAGGAATTCCGATAACTACCAACATTTCACTTTGTGTTGTTTTCCTTCGCGTATAATATAATCCGTGCATTAGCACAGGCATGCACATCGACTGATATTTCAAAAAAAAGGTTAATAACTACCTTATTATTAATTAATAATCATCAACACAAAAAAAAATTATTTTTTTTAATATCATTCTGTAAAATATAATATCCCGTGCAATGCACGGGTACACTCTAATGATTAAAAAAAATGCACGGGTATTAATATAATATATTATATTGCATTTTGCTATGTACACAAATGCAAAATGCAATATAACATATTATATTGTTTTCTTCTAGAGTGTACCTGTGCAATATATTATATTTTACAGTGTATCCATGCAAAATCAATAATCATTAACACAAAAAAATATTGTAATATCTACGGGATATGCACGGGTATCAACTTAACATATTTGTGTATTCGTACAATGCACGAGATATGTTTTTTATCTTAACCTTATAATTTAAGATCATCTATATGTTGTGCAAAACATAAATTGTTGTTTACACATCTAAAATACATTGTTATTCTGTAAACAAACCCATTTGCATGTACCCGGTGTACAGTATTTTTACTGTACATCGGGTTTTCGCACGTGCTTTTTTTTTAAAAAAAAAAAATCGCAGAATTTCAAATACCTAAAAATAAAAAAAAAAAAACGCAGAACAACAATGGAGGAGAGAGAAAGTGAGAAAACGCAGCTATCAATCATCCATTGAGGAGAGAGAAAGTGAGAAATCGCAAAAATTGCAGAAAACGAACATCAATCGAGGAGAAAAAAGGTTAGAAAACACAAAAATTGCAGAAATCGATCATCAATCGAGGAGAAAAAAGGTGAGAAAACGCACAAATAGAAGAATTCGATCATCAATTAAGGACAAAGAAAGTGAGAAAACTTACAAATTGCAGAATTCGATCATCAATGGAGAATTCGACTTTCGATACAACAAATTGCAGCAATCTCATTCACGAATTGCTATAAAAACAGAGGCAAATTGAGACTGAATTTGAAATCGATTTAAATCGATCGATTATAGAAGAAGAAGAAACTAATTGTTTTGGAGATGAATTCGTACCAATATTCAACAATCCAGACAATGCAGATGAAGCAATCGATAATGCAGATGAAGCAATTGAGAATGCAGAAGACGCAATTCATATTGCAGAAAATCAAGTGGTTCCTGATAAATCAATTGATTCAAATTCAGAACAAACAACCAAATCAGATGCAACTGAAGGTAATTTCTATGAATTTTTGAGATTGTATGCAAAAAGTAACCCTTTGAATACATAATTGTTACCCTTTTCATGCATAAACGTGACCATACTTATGCCTAAATGTTACCCTCAGATTGAATGCAGAACTTTTTAGATTGCATGCAAAAAGTAACCCTTTGAATGCCTAAATGTTACCCTTTTCATGCTTAAAAGTGACCCTATTTATGCTCAAATGTTACACTCAGATTGTATGCTGAAAATTCATATTGTATGCAAAAAGTAACCCTTTGAATGCCTAAATGTTACCTTTTTCATGCATAAAAGTTACCCTATTTATGCTCAAATGTTTACACTCAGATTGTATGCTGAAAATTCAGATTGTATGCAAAAAGTAACCCTTTCAATGCCTAAATGTTACCTTTTTCATGCATAAAAGTTACCCTATTTTCAAACGAATGTTACCCTTTTTTTTATGTTGTCTGTGGTTATTATCTGATTTGTTTGTATTAAATAACAGATACAAATCCAATTGATGCTTATGGTTTAGATCTTACAGGATCATTTGTTGGTGTGGTAAAAGAAACTTTTGAAGAAATTTTGGAATTGTATGAAAAACATGCTGCTATACTGGGGTTTTCAATAAGAAAACATACAACTAGATTCAAACAACACACAAAAATAGTAACTGAGAAAAACTATGTGTGTTCTGCTGAGGGAAAGAGACATTCAGGTCAGAAGAAAACAAAGTTAGTTGAAATGGTTGATGAAGAGGATGTAAATGTAAAAACAAGAAAGCCAAGACAAGTATCCATTACAAGATCAAATTGCAAGGCATGCATAAGAGCAAAAGTGAATAAAGAAGGACAGTTTGAGGTGGTGGCTCATGTTATTCAGCATAACCACGAGCTAACAAAGCCACAGTGGCATTATTTGCATCGTTCTGAAAGAAAAATGACAGAGGAAAAAGTTGTAACAATCAAAACAATGAAATCTTCAAGTCTAACTACAATGGACACTTATAATTACATGGCTACAGAGGCTGGAGGAGAACAGAATATAGGCCATAGTGTTGTAGATCACCTGAATTTCTGCTCAAGGTTAAGAATGGAACAAATTGAGGCTGAAGATGCTCAAACTTTAGTGAACATTTTAAGTCAGGAACAATCAGAGGATCCAAACTTCTTTTTTAGAGTGAAGTTTGACAAAGAAGGAAGAATTTGCAATATCTTTTTGGAGAGATTCAATGATGCTAGAAGAATATAGGATATATGGAGATGTTCTTGTCTTTGATACAACATACAGAACCAACAGATATAATCTTATATGTGCTCCATTTGTTGGCATAAATAACCACTGGCATAATTGTATGTTTTCTTGTGCTTTTATTGGGGATGAAACGACAAATTCATTTGTGTGGTTACTACAAACCTTCTTCAAAGCTATGGAGGATAGAAAACCAACTTCAATATTCACTGACCAGGACCAAGCAATGGCAAATGCTATACTGGAGGTAAAAGATTTATATTGACATCTTACAGATTTGAGCTATGACAATAAAGTTTTCCTTTTTCACATAAAGTACCATTTTAGCTGCATAAAGTTACCCTTTTTAGTGCATAAAGTAACCCTTTTAACAGCATAAAGTGACCCCTTTATTTTCAATGCAGGTGATTCCTAATACAAGACATAGACTTTGTATATGGCATTTGGAGCAAAATGCCATAACCAGATTTGGAGCTCTTAAAAAAGACAAAGAATTCAAATTTGCATTCAACCAGTGCTTAAAGATGTGTGTGACAGAACAAGAATTCGAAGCAAAGTGGCAAGCAATGTTGCAAAAATATGAGTTGACAGAACACTCTTGGTACAAAAGAGTGTATGAGTTGAAAGACAAATGGTGTCCTGCCCTTTGTAGAGATTTCTTTTCAGCGGGGATCTTATCGTCACAAAGGAGTGAAAGCACTAATCATGCCATAGGATTCAGAGCAAGTAAAGCAACTACTTTGACAGAATTTTATACCATATTTAAGAAGACAACTAAGCGTTGGAGAAGCACAGAGAAATATGATGAGTTTACCTGTAGCAAGTCAATAGCATTCACTTCATTGCCTCTATTTGGAATGCTAAAGCATGCTGCACAGGTAAAAAGTTAACTGACAAGTACATAAATTACACCTAATATATGGCAATTTAAATGAAACTACATGATTTTGATGTACAGGTTTTCACTTTATCACTCTTTAGAAATTTTGAAGAGGAGTTTGGATACTATATGGCAACAACTGTTCAGATTTTAGGCAGTAATGAAGAATGCCTACTTTATCAAGTAACACTAGAAGACAAGCCATGGTCTGCACATCAAGTAAACTATATACAAGAGAGCCAAACTGTATGGTGTACTTGCAAAAACTTTGAAGCATCTGGATGGTTATGTTATCATTGCATCAGAATTCTACATTTGCATTCAGTAACAAGAATACCAGACAAGTATGTTTCAAAAAGATGGACTAAGTTTGCAAAAACAGAGGCATGGGATAGGTTGAAGAATCAGGATCCTAAACAGCAATATATTCCATGGAGGCAAACAATGATGAGGAAATACTACAATCTAATCTTAAAAAGTCAAGAAAATGAAGAGACAAGAGCATTTATGGAAGAAAGCTTCAGAAACAGTCTTAAAATGGTGGAAGACTTACTTGCTAGTGCTGCTCAGAAAGAAAGTGCAGAAGCTGCTTCTAACATTCTTGATGTGGCAGACAACACTCAAAGCAATACTGACGCTTCTTCAGCATCGAGTACAAGCACATGTGTACCAATAATTCTTGATCCTAAAAGGGCTGTAGCAAAAGGAAGAAGAAAGAGAGCAAAAGGAGGACTTGAAAAAAGCAAGAGAAAAAGAAAACCAGCACTGCCACCTCCAAATTCAGAATTTGGATCAAAGACACCTAACTTACGACTCTTTTAAGATCTTTTTTAGAACATTTTTTTTTCGAAATTAATATACCTTGTATTGTTAAACTATTTTTCTTTTGTTTTTTTACTCTATGACTAGTTTAATGAAAATTTGATTGACACTTTTATTAGAACATGTTTAATTATTGGAACACATCAACTTATGTTACCCTTTTAACGTATAAAAGTAACCCTTTTCATGCATAAAAGTAACCCTTTTCATGCATAAAAATGACCCTTTTCATGCATAAAAGTTATCCTTTCTATCGACTAAATCAACCTTTTCTTTGGCAATAGTTACCCTTTCTGTTAATAAAAGTTAACCCTTTTATCAATAAAAGTTACCCTTTCCATGCATAAAAGTTACACTATCTACCCACAAAATTATACCTTATCATGTATAAACTTATTATTTCTACCCACAAAAGTAACCCTTTTTATCCTTTCTATCCACTAAATCAACCTTTTCTTTTCTAATAGTTACCCTTTCTGTTAATAAAAGTTACCCTTTTATCACTAAAAGCTATCTTTTCATGCATAAAACCCCTGACCCTTTTATTTTACAGAAAAAAGTGTCCCTTTTCATGAATAGAAGTGACCCTTTTTCTACATAAAAGTGACCCTTTTCATTGCTAAAATTACCATTTCTAACAATAAAATCTACCTTTTTCTTGCTTAAAAGTTACCCTTTCTATAAATAAAAGTTACCCTTTCTATAAATAAAAGTTACCCTTTTCTGCATAAAAGTTACCCCATAAAAAACATAAAAATAAACCTTTTAATTACTTTATGTATTCACATACATCAGTATTCCAAAAACAACTAAAGACTTTAAACTAAGTTTAATTACATCATTAAACTTAATGTATGCACATACATTAAGTTTTTTCATTGTTAAAAAAACCCCCTGAACTAATCAGCTAACAACTATCAATTATTTCACTATTTAGAAGGAGTAAACTTTTTTGCCTGCTTTTTTGCCCTTTTTCCTTTGTTCTTTTCCTCTTCTCCCTCTGCCTTTGCTTCTGCTGCCATTTTTCTTTCTTCTGTTTCTCTCTTCTTCTTTGCAGCAATTGCAACCTTTAATCTTTCTTCAATTCCATTGACATAAGCAGGATCTTTCTTCTTCTCATTGAACTTGTGTAATTCTAACAACACATCGTTCCTAGATTCATTCAAATCACACAGTACCAGTGTGATACATATCTCTCCTCGTAAAAATTTCCTTCCATTAATCTCAAATCAGCAAAAAAAAATAAAAATTATCAATATGTAATTAATAAAAGCAATAGAAAGGAAAAAACTACAAAAACTATATAGATAATTACTGTTTTGAGATCATTGAATTTGAACGATTCACCAACAAAATGGAGCATGTGATACATGACAAAGACCCCACAGTCCAAATTGTCAACTTTTTCTTTTCTCCATTCCAACTCAACAACTTCAAAACCATAAGAAGGTAGCCGAGAACTCTTTGGATGATTTCTTTTGCCAAGAAAAGCACCCATTTGAACACACTGACATAAAATATAAAAGTTTAGAATACATTAAAATCAAAAAAGTTAAAATGGAAACAATGAATCAACAGTAACATAACAAAAAAAAAACAAACATAAACATACCATCTTTGAACACAATTCTTTTGTATAAACAAGAGCAGAATCAGTCCAGATAATGTTGTCAAGATAATATACCAACTCTTTTGTATGATCAATAACATACAAAATGTAGTGATTCTCAATAAGAACAGGAAAATAGAACTGAAACAACAAAATTAAAGAGATTTAAACAGAGCATATCATAAAGAGAACTCTTTTAAATTTATTACATTAATTTTAGAATAAAAATACCAGATCAGCATCCATTATATTACATTCTGGATTCTCATAGCTAACCCAACCTTCCCATATGTCGTGCAAATCCTTAACAGCACTAGATATGTTACCTTTGCCAATATTGTCACAAACATGCAAGAATGAAAACTATTAAAGTATAAGATCTTAATAATATATATATAAAGTAAATGTGTTAAGATATAAAAAAAGGAATGAAATAACTTACACTCTGCCTAACACCGAAGAAGAATTTCCGAGGACCAGTAGCCTGAAAACATGCTTTCTCATTCAAATACAGACAGAAGCAATCAATAACGCACCATTGAATCCTGAGTGGAGCAACAAGGGACACCATGTCTTCTCTTGGAATTAAAAAGTTCATTCCAAAAGTAACAAGGCTCTCACTGAAACAATAAAAAATAGATCAACATTAAAAAAAAATATAAGAAAAAAACAGATAAAAAAATAATTATAATAAAAAAGGACACTTAACTTCTTATCCATTGAAACATCCTTCAGCAAATAATAATCGAGAATTTCCAAATGTAACTAATGCAAATTCTTGAAAATCCGAGCATTGCTCTTTACAAAAAGAGTTACAAAAGGCACCTACACACCTACATGTCCACAGTCCAGAGAGCATAGAGATTTATTTGCTCTGAGTCGAGGAGGTTCATTTTGATCAATATGCCCGACAGGAATATTTTGAGTAGGACCAGGAATGATAGCAGAAGGTCCAGAACCATTAAGGCCTTCATTAACTATTTTTCCATGACCATTGTCATCATCCTTAGGAATATTTTCATTGAAATCTTGTGCAGGTTCTTTTTCAAGAACAAAATCTTTGTTACCTTCTGTAGGTTCATAAAAACCGCGAAACATATCATGTACAGACTTCATTTTATTACACTCATCAATTAAACCATCTAAAATCTTCAAATAATGAGGATCAGAGAGTAGCAGTTCAGTTTGAGAAACTGAAACAAAATCATCAGAAGATAATGAAACACTTCTGCGAGAAGTAATCAGATCATTCAAGGTTTGAAAACCAGTTGACTGAACAAATAATAAAACATCCATATTTCTTTTAAACAAAAGAAACGTTTCATGAACAACCTACAAACATATGAACAATGAAAAAAAAATGTTACAAATAAAAATAATAAAATAAGTAGGAAATCTAATTCCATTAAACTAAACATATAAGAAAACAGAACACTTACATCAGTTGAAATTTTTTTAATTTCTTCATCGGTCATAATACCTTCTGGAAGCTCAAATGCAACAATGCGACCAGTGGTACCACTTGTAGAAGGACCCTTATCATAACCCAAAGTAGGAGCTGGCTTAAAAACAGTTCCCCTAAAATTAAGCTGTGACACAGGATATGTAATAGGATCCAATGGTCCCTGCCCCACACAGCTCTGATCTCTAACTTAATTCGCTTCTTAATCTTTACAGTCCAATTTGAATTAAAGGAAGAGTACTAGCATAACAAAGCCAGCAAAACACCACTAACATTTTGAGCATTTTCATCATCCTTATACTCTCTGAACAGCCTTCTTTTAACTTTTTTAAAACATATGAACACCAATCAAAAGTTTTAATTTCATCAACTTTTTCAACAGCTTTAAGCAACTTCAATGAAACAGTCCTATTAGTAAAGCTAAAAAGCTAGACATAGCTTGAAAAACACCTCTTAAATTCTTCCCCTCCATCAACCAATCAACCATCCTAGACTCCAATTTTGACAATGAAAGAGGTTGCTTACCAGAAAGACCATAATCAGATCTCCATGCTGAATGATACGTTTATCTACACTTTCATCTTCAGAATTTTTATTAAGTTCAGGAACACAAATATCTCAAAGGCAAGCAAAACACATCGTATATATCAGTAACAACAAATTCTTTACCAGTAGCGATGGTAAACATGCAGCTAGCATTGAAGTTTTCAACAAGCCAAGGTAGCATTTGACGATTAAGAGTTTTCAATTTAAGATGTAATACCTCCAAAACCAATTTCTTCAACAGCCTGTTTTTGCTCAGGACTAAAGTTCTGCAGCATATTTCCAATGAATAGGGTCTCATCTTGCAATGATTCTTCTTTTCTCCTAAATAGAAAAAAAAAGAAAGAAATGTAACTAAAACAATATAAATAAAACAAAATATAATTAAAAATGTAATAAAAAATATGTATACTTACATAACAGATTCAGAATCAGATTCAGAAAGCATTTCATAATCAGAATCTTCCACTGTATTAGCTTTCTTAGGTACAATTTTGGCCTTCTTAGTAACTATTTTGGCCTTCTCAGACTCTGGTTTGTCACTCTCAGGAATTTTCCCAGCCTTTTTAGATACTGCTTTGCTCTTCTCAGGAGCTATCTAGGTCTTTTTTGGTACTGGTTTAGGCTTAGCAGGCTCTTTAGGCTTTCCTTTTCCTTTTGTAGGCTTTTTATAACGATAACCCTATTGAACCACCTGTATTTAATTATTAAAGTAATATAAATACAAATTCATAAATTACTCATGGAAAAATATAGAATAATGTGCACAAATGACACTTTTAAATGCATAAAGACCCTTTTAACAGCACAAAAGTACCCTTTTAAAGCACAAAGTAACCCTTTTAACAGCACAAAGTGACCCTTTTACAGTATAAAGTGACCCTTTTAATAGCATAAAGTGCATAAAGTGACCTTTTAACAGCTTTAAAGTGACCCTTTTATGCAAATGACCCTTTTGTATGCAAAAAGTGACCCTTTTATATGCAAAAAGTGACCCTTTTTTGCAAAAAGTGACCCCTTTTAACTGAAAAAGTTAATCATTTAACAACATATAGTGACTCTTAACAGCATCTCACCCTTTAACATCATAAGTGAACATTGTCAAAACATATAAATGACACACATGTCTATTACTCAAACACAATGAGCAATGCATATATGCATGTTAATCAACACAGATGCACAAACAATATGCATTATACACATAATCTAACTAAAACATAAAACCTAAACAAATAATCAGTTTAATTAGCATTCTCTGATTAAAACCTAACATACAAAATTTGAAGAATAATAAGCAAAATTTTGAATCAATTATATACAATGAACAATAAAATAAAGCAAAATTAAACATAATAACTTCATAATTAAAATTCAATTATCATA